TTTGCAGCAGATTTGCCCAATGTAATACGTTGTTTGATTTCTTGGCTGCTGCTTCCATGATTGTTGATCCAAGTAGTATGAAATCCTTGGCAACTTTAACTTCTTATTACAGAAGTAATTATCAGTTAATCATAAAAAAAAAATTTAAGGAGCCCTGTGGCACAACAGTTAAGTGCTTGGCTGCTAACCAAAGGTTTGGTGGTTTGAACCTACCCAGCGGCTCAACGGGCAAAAGACCTGGCAATCTGCTCCCTTAAAGATTACAGCCTAGGAAACCCTATGGGGCAGTTCTACACTGTCAGGTAGGGTCACTATGAGTCAAAAATTGACTCAACAGCACCCAACAACAAAAGAAAACCAGGAAAATGAAGATAAACAGAAAGCAATTTCAAATAGCTCTTCATCTTATCAGCAGGAGATGCCCACTGTTGACGACATCACCACTGTCATTTCTGATGACGGTACAACGTTCTGTGGAATAGTTTCCACGTACAGTTTACTTAAACTCTCTCCCATCACTGGGCCGGTGGGTGTTTTCCGGTGGTTCCTCTGTTCTAAAGCTGCCGTGATGGACACTTTTCTGTAAGAAGTGCTTTTCAAGATCTGGGTTTCCCCCTCAGGTTCACTCTGGAGAAGTTGAGTGGCCTGGCCACACGAGTTTGCTCATGGTTCTTCAGCTGTATTGCCGCCAAGTTGTATAAGTTTGTCCTGAATTGTACAGATTTAACCCGAATCTCTCTGCCCAGCTCTTGGCATGCTGGGAGGGTAGGGGGATGCTCACTGGGAGAGAGAAGTCTGTCTGTCCTTTCCTATGTGGTTTTTACCACTTCCTGAAATGGGCTGGTGGGACTGGGCAGGTGATGGGGTGGGAGCGTTGAGGTTCATTCTTTGGCCTTCTCTCTCTCAGGTCTCTGCTCTGTTCAGATCCGTCCAGTCATGTGGTCACCCACCTACGCACCTACTTTCCTAGAAAGCTCCTGTCTTTGCCAGGCGCTGGTGCAGGCATCAGGCGCCCAGCAGGTGCCAGGACAGGGTGCTGACATGGGGCTGTGGCAGAGGATAGGCAGGCTGAGAAAGTAGCAGGGTAAGGGGGTGGCACCTCATGGTGGGGAGGGGTGTGGAGGGGAGAACAGGGCAGGGGCTGGAAGGTGGCATCTCTTCTCAAACCCTGGCCCAGAAGGAGGTGGTCGTGAGGACCTGGAGAAGGAGAGGTCCAGGCAGGGGCACGGAGGGTGCGGTGCGTCGATGGATATGTAGGGCAGGGGGTGTGCAGGTGCCATCTCATCTCCTGGAAGACCCTGCAGTGACTTGGGTCCTGCCTGGCATGGCCCATGCTGGGTGAGCCCCACTGCCCCTGTGAGCGTGGCTATTACTCATGTGCTCACTGCTGTTGCTGCAAGGAGCCCTCAGGGTCTAGCCCTACCTGCCTCTGTGAGCCTTAGTCTCCCTGTCTGTCACACGTGTCAGAGGGCCTGCTGCACTTCACATTCCATCCCCTCCCCATCTCATCTCCTGTTGTTCCCTGCCTCCATTCACTACCGCTGCCCCCCCGCCCCGGGCCTCCCTGCTGTCCCAGGACTCCAGCCTGTGTCTGCCCCAGGGCCTTTGCACTTGCTGTCATGCTGCCTGTGTCCCTCCTGCCACACTGTTCAGTCTGGCCCCTTCTATGGCCCTTCAGAGATCCCCTCAGAGATCTGCCACCTGACTTCCCTGCTGAACTGGCTGTCCTTTCCCTTCCTTCCCCTTTCTCCTCTCCTCCCCCTGTCCCCTCCCCTCTGCACCTCTCCTTTTCCCCCTCTCCCTCCGTGTCCTTTCTTCCTGGCAATTCCGCTGTCTGAAATCATGTTTTCATTGGTGTGCTTGTTTGTCATCCGTCTGTCTCACCCACCAGGGAACCTCCCTGAAGGCAGGGGCTTGTTCACTAAGGTCTCTTCTGTGCTGGGAGCAATGCCTGGCCCCTGAAGACTTCTGTGCCTGCGGGAGGAGGGGTTGGCTGGGACACGCTGGGAGGAAGGACAGGACGTCTACCACGTGGAAGGGCCCCCTGTGCTCGGCTTGGGCACCCTTGGTGGCCCTAGTCCTGCGTGGGATAATAACAGCCTGCTAGTTGTTCTCATTAGGCTGCAATAAAAATGGAGTCAGAGAGTGGGCGGGTGCAGCTCTTTAGAAGTCAGCAGTCTACTGTCAGTCCTGTAATTAGCCAGAATGAGACCGCTAGTCCATTTGACACAGGGAGGAGGGCAAAGAGATCAGAAGTGGCAGGTGTGTGGACAAGTCGGTGTGATACTGCTGGCAGAGGAGCGGCTGATGAGAGTGGGCGCCCATCCTCTCACTTTGGCTGGTCCTGTGCCCGCCCCATCTCAGCTCGCAGTCAGCCTTATGGTATCTGGTCACAGTTCTTCAGGGCCAGGGGTGACAGAGAAGCCACTGGTGGGTGCGGCGAGGGTGGTCTGATCACCTGGAGACCACTTGCACATGTTAGCTCGCTCTCAGGGCATGCGCTGTGCCAGGGTGAGCTCCCTCCTCAGCTCCAGCCCCTCTGAGGGTCTGCCCAGAGTTTGTCCACTCGCTCCTAGTCCTGTGCCTGCCCGCTGCTACCCAGCCACGCTTCAGCCTCTGTTCCCTCTGGCCATGTTCCCACGTGCCCTCGCCCCGCATCCTGAATGGTCTGCTCGCTGCCAGCCGGGCCAACTCTCTCCTTTGCTCCTCCTCCCTGCAGTCTTCTGGCCTAGGTGGTGCCTGCGGCCCTGCCAGGCCTGCTCCTGGTCTCCTTCTCTAGAGGTTCCTGAGGAGAGGCTGCTCCTCCCTAGGGCCCAGGCCTTAGGCCCCACTGCCGTTGGTCCTGCCGCCCCCTCCCTGGAGCCCCTGTCAGTGGTACACACGGTTTATGCACTCTGATGCTAACAAAACGTTGGGGTTGGAGTCCACCCGGAGGCACATCAAGAGGAGAGGCCTGGCAGTCTGCTTCTGAAAAATCAGCCAGGGCCCTTATGTGGGCTGGGAGCCAGGAGCTGGACCCCACTGAGTCCTGCTGGACTAACATGCTTTAGAGGAAACTTAGAAGGAGAACTCCTCTGGAGAACTTGTGTGCTCACCTGAGGCTTCTCCTCCTCCTTCAGTCCCATCTGGCTCTTCACTCAGATATGTCTGTGTGAGCTTGTGATGTCATGTAACAACTGTATGAGTTTATGACATACAGGACCCATGTGAGTTTAGGACATCATAAAATACCTGTGTGAGTTTATGACATCGTACAACACCTGTATGAATTTAGGATGTTACACAACAGTGTGAGTTTACGATGTCATATAACATATAAAGGTCTTAGAGTGGCTCTTGGCACATAACGCATTGCCATCGAGTTGGCGACCCCATGTGTTAACAGAGTAGAACTGCTCCATGGGGTTTTCTTGGCTGTAATTTTTTTTTTTTTTTATATATAACCATGATTTCATTTTATTCAACTTAATATCATTCATAAATATTTTACTATGTATTTCTAAAAGATAAGACTTCCTTTTTTAAAAAATTTCATTGTGCTTGAGGTGAAAGTTTACAGCTCAAGTTAGTTTCTCATTCAAAAACTTACGCGCAACTTTTTTTGTGACATTGATTGCAATCCTTGTAATGTGACGGAACTCTCCCCCTTTCCACCCCGGGTTCCACTATTCATTAGTCTGATTTTCCTGTGCTTTCCTGCCTTTTCCTCTTGTGGGTAGGAGTTGGACCATTTGGTCTCGCATATTTAATTGAACTAAGAAGCACGTTCCTCACGTGTGTAATTTTGTTTTATAGGCCTGTCTAATTTTTGTCTGAAAAGTGGGCTTTGGGAATGGCTTCAGTTCTGAATTAGCAGGGTATCTGGGGACCATAGTCTCGGGGGTTCCTCCGTTCTCTGTCACACCAGTAAATCTGGTCTTTTTTTGTAAATTTGAATTTTGTTCTACATTTTTTTCCCACTCTGTCCGGGACTCTATCGTGATCCCTGTCAGAACGGTCGGTGGTGGTAGCCAGGCACCATCTAGTTGTTCTGGGCTCAGGCTGGTGGAGGCTGTGGTTCATGTGGTCCTTTAGTTCTCTGGACTAATATTTTCCTTATGTCTTTGGTTTTCTTCATTCTCCTTTACTCCGGATGGAATGGGACCAATAGATGTATCTTAGATGGCTGCTTGAAAGCTTTTAAGACCCCAGACGCTGCTTACCAAAGTAGGATGTAGAACTTTTTTTTTATGAACTACGTCATGCCAATTGACCTAGATATCCCCTGAGACCATGATCCCCAACCCTCAGCCCCAGCAACCCGGTCCCTCGAGGTGTTTCGATGTATCTAGGAAACATCTATGATTTTGCCTTGGTCAGGTTGTGCCGACTTCCCTTGTATTTCGTGTTTTCTTTCCCTTCACCAAAGGCTTGGCTGTAATTTTAATGGAAACAGATCACCAGGCCTTTCTTTCGTGGTGCCACTGAGTCGATTTGAACTGCTAACCTTTAAGTTAGTAGCTGGGCACAAACTCACCTTACAGTACATATACTGCACGTGAAGGTCTTGGACTGGAGCTGGTGCACAGCCCTGCCTGTGTATAGCCCCTGCCCTGCTGTTCATGCCTCGGCTCAGGTGCCGCCTGGCTCTGAGGGCCTGACATGGAGCTGCGGGGCTCTGACCACAGACAGTGGAGGTGGGAGCAGCCAGTACTGTGGTCAGAACTCCCTGCATGCTGTCACTGTTAGTTCCGCCACCGCCTTCTGAGAAGGAAACTGAGGCACGGCCCCAGTCCACGCAGGTGGTATGTGGTAGAGGCAGGACTGAGTCCAGGCTCTCTATAAACTGCCCTTGGTTGTTGGTGAGGGAGGAGGCTTTGATTCCCTCCCTGCTGTTGACTCATCAGCCCTCGAATGCCACATGCCATGGCCACTGTCTGGAAGCCGGCGAGGTTCTGCTTTTGAGGCCTTGGCCCTGTGGGACTTCCTGTCAACCCTGTCCCCCAACTCTTTCCCGACAGGGATCCTGACATGGAGCTGCGGGAGGAGGCCTGGTCTCCAGGGCCGCTGGACTCTGAGGACCAGCAGATGGCCAGCCACGAGAACCCGGGTGAGTGGCCACCGTCGGGCCTGGCTCCTGCCTGATCCTCCATCTGGCCTCTGGGACCTCTCTTTCCTCCAGAGGCTGTGGTGGTGCCCACCTGGCCTGGGCCATGTACCACCTCTCAGGGTTCCTCTTCCCACCTATAGATGAGGGGCCATGCATGCTCTCCAGGTATCCTTCCTACTGGCTGTTCCGTCACCCTTTGGACAGACCTTGGGGGGCTGCTCTTTTCCTTGTCTGGTTCACCGCTCCTTGTGCCCTGAGGCAGCGTGGGCATCTGTTGTTGAGAGCTCCTTGTCCCCTCAGCGACCTGGATGTCCCATTCCATGTCCACCGCGGCCCCTTGACTCCCTAGCAGGAAACTTCAGGGGTGCCCACGGGGCCAGGGCGGTAACGGTTATGTGTGCAGGGGCCGGGGAGCTGGAGGGCAGGCACCGAGGAAAACTGGACGTCTGCGATTTTATGTAAAATCTTTCACTTTTTAAGTGTTGGCAGCATTTTTTTTTAATACATAATTTGGGGTCAAGTATAACTGACCTGAGGGCTGCACACGGCTTGGGAGTCACTTTTAGGGAGATCTTGCAGCCCCACTGACAATCTTCGTGGACTCCCCTTCCTCCATCCCCCTCTCATCGAAGGCTATGCTCCCTGTGTCCTGGGGCTTCCACAGCCGGGCAGCCTCAGGCCAAAGAAACAAAGCTAGGCTTCTCCATGCCAGGCATCACATTGGCACAGTGTCCACAGACTCATCTGGAAAGGGCACACTTGTCTCGGTTGTCTCACGACTCTGCCATCATAGTGTGAAAGCAGCCCCAGATGGTACGGATATCCCCATATGACTTTACTTACAAAAGCAGGCAGGGAGCCGTAGCCTGCCAGCCCCTCCCTGTACAGAATACTGTAGTTGCCCAAGAGAAAGATCATGGGGTCCTAGACATAAGCAGGGGGATAAAACCAAAACCCATTACTGTGAAGTTGATTCCGACTCATGGTGACCCTATAGGACAGAGTAGAAATGCCCCATAGGGATTTCTAAGGAGCAGCTGGTGGATTCGAACTGCCGACCTTTTGGTTAGCAGCTGAGCTCTTAACCACTGTGTCACCAGGGCTTCTCAAGCTGGGGATATATCTTTAAAGGTATACCGGCCACCCTTCCACTTATTTCTAAGAAGCCACAGAAGGATGTGAATGTCACCTACCCAGAGGCCAGGACTGTGGCTATCTTGGTTCTAAAAAATACGAAAAGAGAGAAACCAAACGTGGTGACCCCACGTTTGTCAGAGTAGAGCTGTGCTCCACCGGGTTTTCAGTGGCTGCGTTTTCAGATGTAGATTGCCAGGCCTTTCTTCTGAGGTGCCTCCTGGTGGACTTGAATCTCCAACCCTTTGATTAGTAGCCAAGTGGAAACCGTTTGCACCACCCGGGGACCTGCGTCTTGGTTCTCCACATGAAGAAACTGAGCCCTGCAGGGCTCAGCACTTGCTGAAGACACGCAGCCATGGGACGCAGACACCTCCCTGTCCACCAGGCTGCCAGCCCCTCGGAGCAAGAGGACGGGGTTGTCTGTCTTTCCCCATCTAGCCCCTCGTCCTGCACCCCTTTTCTTCCTCTGTCTTGTGCCCTTGTCCTTCCAACCTTCTTAAAAATCAATTTTATGATCTTTTTCATCATGGAAATCTCAGACGTATGTAGAAAGCCGTGTAGTGAGCCCGTTTCCCACTACCCGGCTGCAGCGACTGGCAGCGTTTTGCTGGTCTGTCTTCATTGTGTTCTTCCTGGAGTGCTTTAAGGACAATCCCAGACAACATACCATTTCACCCAGAACTCCTGCAACAGATAAGGACTTTAAAAACAAACAGGACAAAACTACGAAACAATGATGTCTCCTCACAAAACAGACAGTTATTCCTTAATATCACCTAATACCCCATCCATACTGAAATCGCCTCTTGTCTCCAAAATGTATGTTAACCATTGAGGAAGTTAATTTTTAATTTTATGAGTTATCCATTAACTCATTCTCTTTGTAAGACATTTAAAGAAGTACAGGCAGGTCTCGGGCACCCCTGCTTCAGTGCCCCCACTCCCTCTTCTCCCAGTCCTGGAAGCTGTTGGAAGTCTCTTCCCCACTGGGCAGCAGGCTGTCCAAGAGAGTCAGGGAGCCTCTGCTGGAGCCGCTTCTACCAGAGGTCCTATAGTTCCAAAGGGGTGATGAGGGGCAGGGAGGGTGTGTGTGTCTTGTTTTAGAAAGCTTTCTGTGGCCATCTGTGGAGAAGGGGCCGGGGCTCGTTCTTCCTTCCCTAGAGCTGCATGGGCACCGTTTTCCCAGGTGGAGTCCAACTAAGGGCCGTGGCTCCTTCCCCAGCCAGTGGCTTAGCCTCAGTGTCCTTGGAGAGCCTGGGTCAGGGGGCTGGGCCTCAGGTGCTGAGGAGGAAGGGGCCTGACCTGACCCAGCAGGCTGGGTCGGTGTGAGCCCCCTGCCCATCTCTGACCACACTCATGGTCCCCTGCTTCTGCAGACAAGAGGCCCCTTGAGAGAGGTGGTACAATGAGCCAGCGTGTGTGTATGTCCCCGTGTGTCCAGGGCATGTGTCCCAGGGGCCCAGCTTCTTCTGCTGTAATAAACTGGTGCCGTAACACCTCACTTCTGTGTTCTTCACACCTTGTTGCCTGTGAAGTCGTTTACACTGTCACCTGCGCGCACACACAGAACGTGTAATTATGTATATGTGACTGACAAGAAAGTTCGTAGAGCAGTCTTCACTGTCACCAAAAGCAGTGTATGTTCAACACTGACTTAAAAAAAAAAAGTATTACATGTATGGTAAACCAGACACGTAGAAAAATCAAATAGCCTAAGGCTTGCATATGTAAGAAAAAAAGAAAAGGGACTCGAGCATCCCTCCATTATGCCATTCTCACTTCCAAGTCTTGCTGTAGAGGTAGCAACCCCTTCAACCTGCCAGCGCTCTTGTGGGTTTCTCTCCCTGATTCTAGGCACTGCAGGCAGGCCCCAACCCCCTGGGAGGTGAGGTTGGGTGCCCACAGCAGCACCCTCCTACTTAGTTCTGGTGATGGCAGGCGTCAGAGTTCATGTCCTGGGTACTGTAAATATTTGTAGCTGAATCACATGGTGCATTGCCACTAAATTTTCTTTCTTGACAACTGCAAACAAGTTTATTTTAATCGCAGGAGCACAGCACTTGTAATTCGTCAGGTAAGTGCAGCTGACTTTGAAAAGCAAGCTGCCTCTCCCACCCCCACCCTCACCCTCATTCTCACTCCCCTTCCCGGCGGCACAGAGCCCCCCGCCCTTCCCGTTTCAGTGTTTACATCTTCTCTATCTCTGAGTAATGTGCTTACACTTCCGTTTCTTGATCTGTGCTGACACCAGAATGGACTCCACGCCTCCTCATCAGTAGTTCCCCCCTTCCTGATTTCCTACCTGAATTTTTTTTCTTCTGCCCCAGCTAATTCAAGGAGCATATTTTAATACTCAGTGTTAGAGCCCCCCCCCCCAAAAAAAAAGAAAACCAAAGCAACCCAAACCTATTGCGGACGTGTGGATTCCAACACATGGCTGTAATCTTGAGGGAAACGGATTTGCAAGCAGATTTGTGGTACCGCTGGGTGGGTTCGAACCACCAACCTTTGGGTTAGTAGTCAAAGCACAAGCTGGTCCCACCCCCAGGGTTTTCCATTGGGTAGGTCTGGGTTGGGGCCCGAGAACTTGCATCTCTAACAAGTTCGCAGACTCTGCTGGTGCTGCGCATCTGGGAATCCTCTTCGAGGAGTACTGCCTTAGAGTTTGAGGAGCCCTGGTGGCACAGTGGTTAAGCGCTGGGCTGCTAACTGAAAGATCGGTGGTTAGAACCCGCCAGCCTTAGAGTTTAGGGTGTGCCAGCCCTCTGAGGTGGTACTGTGACCGTTCTGGGTTATAGGGGTGCCCGCGGAAGGCGCATAGCAGGTGGATAAGCTACGACTTGAGGCCCAACGGTGCCTGGCACTAGACCGCACATGCGCACAGAAGGTCCCCATTCTCGAGCTCCGCCTCTGACTCGCCTCCTTCCCCGCCCCTCTTGCCTTGCAGTGGACATCCTCATCATGGATGAAGAGGACGTTCCCACCTGGCCCCCGACCAAGCTGTCTCCGCCCGCAACGGCGCCTCCAGCTGGCCCCCCTCCTCGGCCGCGCCCGCCCGCGCCTTACATCTGTAACGAGTGCGGCAAGAGCTTCAGCCATTGGTCCAAGCTGACGCGGCACCAGCGCACGCACACCGGCGAGCGGCCCAACGCCTGCGCCGACTGTGGCAAGACCTTCTCGCAGAGCTCGCACCTGGTGCAGCACCGGCGCATCCACACGGGTGAAAAGCCGTACGCCTGCTCCGAGTGTGGCAAGCGCTTCAGCTGGAGCTCCAACCTCATGCAGCACCAGCGCATCCACACCGGCGAGAAGCCCTACGCTTGCCCCGATTGCGGTCGCAGCTTCACGCAGAGCAAGAGCCTGGCTAAGCACCGGCGCTCGCACAGCGGCCTCAAGCCCTTCGTGTGCCCGCGTTGCGGCCGCGGCTTCAGCCAGCCCAAGAGCT